TAAAAGGTCTGTACTCTTAGGCAAGAAATGGAGGGGAGATTATAACCTCTGGCTGGAGTACTGTTGGCAAATTTAAGCCCCTTCACCAGACTTGGACTTGTACTACATCCCATCATACTACTACTTTTTTTGGGGGACAGCGTAGGGGAGACCAGGGATTGAACTCAGGAGCACTTGGCCACTGAGCCACATCCCTAGCCCTATTTTGTATTTTGTTTAGAGACAGGATTTCACTGAGTTTTGGAGTCGCTGGTAGTAACCAAGGTTGTAGGTAATTTGCAACTGGAATCTATATAAGTCACTTGGCGTTGTTACATAGCACCTGACTGTTGCTGAGGCTCCTCCCTCAGCCTCCCTGAGATGCTGTGATTACAGGTTTGTACCACCATGTCTGGCTTCATTTTATTTATTTATTTATTTTTGAGATAGGGTCTCACTATGGTGTCCAGGCTGGCCTTGAACTTCTGGGCTCCAGTAATTTGCTCATCTCAGCCTCCTGAGTCCGGAAGAACAGGCATGTGCTACATACAAGACTGGCTCATTTCTTAATTTTTCACTCCTTTGCACTAATTCTATAGGCAATAGCTACATGATGCTATTTAAATTTACCTGAATTAAAAGTAAATAGGATATTCAATCCTTTGTCAAACTAGCATTATTTTAAGTATTGATTAGTGGACTGTGTAGATTTAGAACATTTTCATCATTATAGAAAGTTCTCTTGGCCAATGCTCCTTATACTCTACATATCAAGTAGCAGATCATTTTATTCTCAATATTCTGATGGCAGATAATTAGCAGAGAAAGATCAAGTGAAGCTAAAGATTCTTGACAAGTAAGTCTTATAAACAGAATTTAAACTGACACCTTCAGGACTCGAGTCTGCAGATCTTGTTTGGTTGGTCTGCTCTTCTCTGAACCATATCTTAATGTGAAGAGTGACTTATATAGCTTCCAGTTGCAATTGCCTACAACCTTGGTTTGTGTGAGCTAAATAAGTCATATCAGAATATCTCTTAGTTTAAGCTCGGATACAACAGTACTTTAATTTCTTTTTTTTTTTTTTTTTTTTTTTTTTTT